CCCCAAAACCCCAAAACCCCAAAACCCCTTATGTAGATTTTTATATTGATAAGAACTTGATCAGAAAATAAATCAAATCAAAGCTAATTCGTATTTAAGGCTTTTGGATTAATATGATATTATGGAATTTTCATTTGGCTCAGAAGATAAAGGACCTCAAAAGATAATAAATAAAGCTTATACTGTAGCTTAGCCTTCATCTTAAAAGGGCAGAAGTAGCTTTAGGAATTTCAGTTATCAATTGTTATTATTTTCATATGGAAGATATATGAATGGTTTAGAGGCATTTGAAGAGCTGATCGGAATTTCTATTATTCAGAAATATCCAACGAAATTTAAATTTCCAACATAAATGTCTCAATCTGGAGTTCTTACAGTTCCTTTAAAATGAGAAACTGATAAATGTTATCAGTCTTTTGAAAGAACTTATGATCAGAACTATAATACAAATCCTTTAAAGAGAATTATTTATGTTTGTGATACTTCTTGAGGTGTTTCTTGAGATTACCTTTTTGAGTAAATTTCTCGTCTCAGCGTTTGCATTCGTATGGCTTGATCCCTAAGTGCATTCTTGCATGATCAACGAAATTCCAAGTTTTGAAAAATACCTTATCTCATTCAGGATATTTGCAGTATATAGTTCTTTTCCTCCTCCGAGGTCCTTTACTGGACTCAAAAGTAACTGAATGTAGGTAAGGCTTTAAAATTTCAGAATTATCTTCTGCCAAATTAACTTTCTTTGGCTCGTCTTTCGTAGGACTTTTTGACTCATCAGTTGAAACAATACTAGGCTCACCACTTACGGCATTCTTCTCTAGAATCTTCTCAGAGAGTTTTGAGGGTGGTTTTATTTCAAAAACAATTCAGTCTGGATTAGAGATATTTCAAGAAGTTTTATCAGAACCTGATATCGGACCTTCAATTGGAATTTCCACATCTAGGATAGCTTTGGGGTTTGCAATTGGCTGCTCAATAGGAATATCCTTAGCTTTGACTCCATTGGCTCTTAAATCATTGAGCTCTAAGAATCCTCTTATATCCGAATTTACAGTATGACTTTGCTGGCTATTATAAAAATTTAACGGAGGCTGGAGTACTGGTAAGGGTACCGTATTCTCATTAAGAAATAAAATTGGAAGATCAATGGCTTTTGGGTATTTTCCTGTCGGCTGAAGATTTCTTCATTTGTTTTCTTGGTAACTCACTGAAAAGTTCTTGCTCAAAATTGGGTGCATTCTTTAAAAATATTATAATTCTCTTAATTATCTTATTAAATATTCTTTTATGCGAGGGGTTTTGGGGTTTTGGGGTTTTGGGG